CCCCTCCCTTCTCCTCCCCGCCTGGGGGGGGGGCAGCGCGTTGCTGAGATCAGGGGGCTGCTTGGATCAGGACAACACCAGCTTTGCTCCGAACTCTGGGCAGCGAGGGTGCCACGCAGGCCCAAGGCCCAGCTCCCACATGTGCACACGCACATGCACGCGTGTGGACAGGCCAGCATGGGCAGGCACTTACCACTGGAAGTACAGGAACACCTGCCCCACCTGCGGAGAGAGGGAGAGGGCTGGGGTGAGAGGGCACGGAGAAAGGGAGGCAGTGACTTCCGGCCCCGGCGCTAGGATATCGTGAGGACGGGGCCGAGGCCAGCCCAGAGAAAGACGGTGCCTGCGGCCGGTGTGCCAGGGCCGGGCAGTACCAGGAGCTGCAGCAAGAGGAGCCGCCCAGCTCTGGCCTAGCGCCCAGGAGAGGTTTAGTCATTTGCTTCCAATCTGGAGAGGCCCGAGAGTGCGAGAGGCTGCAGCTGGGGGGCAAGGCCCCCTTGCTCTGCCTGCGGACCGATCGCTGCAGCTGCTCGGGCTGCTCCGGAGGGAGGGAGCTGGGAGGAAGTCTCTCTCCAGCCTCCCTTAAAAGGGCAGAGGCAGCGAGTGCCCAGCCCAGCCCAGCCCGGAGGAGGGAAACGCAGGCTCTGGGGGAGCGCTGGGGGTGCGGGGGACACCCCTCAGCCGCACGTCCTGGCCCAGGCTCCCTGCCCCAAGGGGAACGCCGGGCAGGGAGGCTCAGCTGAGGCTGGGAAGAGGCAGGGCGCTGGGGCAGAGCAGCTCAGGGCCCCGGGGGGGGCGGGGGGTCAGTGCTGCTGGGCCCAGCTCGCACCCAGGCCTTGCTGCCCAGCAGCACCGTGGGGGCTAATGCAACCATTAGGCCGCAGCACGAGCTCGACTTGTCCGGAGCTTATTTCCTTTGGTTTTGTGAGGAAGAGAAACTGCCCCCCCCAGCCCCTGCTCCTGCTCCTAGCAGCTGACTCACCCACCCGCCAGCTCCTCAGAGGGCTGCTGGTTTGCGCGACAGCACTTCAACAGGCCAAACCCGCATGCACGCGTTACGGAGCCCAGAATGGTGCGGTGCACGTGTCAAACAGGCTGCAACCGTGTGCATGAAGTGTGCACGCATGCTAAACATGTGCGCACCAGGCTGGAATTGTGTACACGTTAAACAGGCTAGCGGTGCGTGCACACGTTAAGAGACCAGAAGTGCGTATGCGTGCGTGTTTTAAACAGGTTCAAACTGTGCATGTGTGTGTTAAGCAAACTACTACTCCGCATGGTGTTTGTGTGAAACAGGCTATAACCGTGTACGTGCACGTGATAGGCTAGAACCATGTGCGCGTGCATGCGTGTGGTAGGCTAGTACCACATGTGGTGTATGTTGCTGTACGTGCACGTTAGGCTAGAACCGCGTGTGCGTGTTTGAACCAGGCGTGCACACGCGTACGCCAAACCATGTGCATGGGTGTGTGCCCGTGCGCAAGGCTAAAAATGCGTGTGTGTGAAACACTGCATGTGCGTGCGTCCCACGTGTGCGAGCCTGACGGGGCGTGCGGTCCCGGAGCCGCCGCGTTTCGCGGGAAAGGCGGAGGTCAGGCCAGTTTTGGGGTGCGGGCGCGGGGGCCGCACGGACGTACCTGGTAGAGCGAGAGGTACAGCACCCAGAGCAGCAGGAAGACGAGGGCGTCGCGCAGGCGGTCGCACACGAGGGCGCCGAAGGAGGCCAGCAGGCCCAGCAGGCAGAGCAGCTCCATGCCCAGCTCCGTGTCCAGCCCCAGGCGCGGCCCGAGCCACAGCAGCGTGGGCGCATCGCGCAGCTGCTCCCACAGC